ATCAACCAACTAATTACGCATTTTTTCTTGTAACTTCACAATTGGCTGTTGTCAAAGCTATTTAGATAAAAACGAAGACTCTGAATGTTTTTGAAAATTAATTTGGGTTTTAATGTTTTTAATAGTATCAGGAGATTTATTTTTAAATAAATACCTATCGGTTGATACTGAATTAATAACTTCACACACAAGCTTTTCTAATACTAGATACGCTCTTGAATTCTCCGAACAATAGTGGTGTTTTTTGTTTTCATCTTTTATTTCTTGGCGTACGTCTGTAGTTCTTGTCTGCGTGTCCAGAATCAATATGTTTCCTTGACTGAATACATACACCGCTTTGACAAATGTAATGAGGTGAATGCTCATTTTGTTTTTGTTTTCAATTAACGTCCATATTTACTTTGTGTGTCAAGTGTCTCTTCGGCTAATTGCTTACATTGATTTATGGAGACTGTTTGAACATTACCGCGCAAGTAATGGCGTCTTCTAAGTGAATATCCGATAATTAGGGAAGTATTAAAATTAGTGTAAAATTAGGTGACCGTAAATACGTCCATATATATGTATGCCAACGTGCTTAAATTACATACGCACGTAATATATATATATATATATATATATATATGTTTGTTTTTTATATAATTATATACACACAACCATCGCATATAACCAGAAATAGATGCAAATTTTGTATTCATATATATGTGAATGAGTTTCTGTCTCATACACACGCAAACACACAAACACACAGGCGCACATGCACACACACACACACATATACCTAAATGTGGCAGAAATATATATACAATTTTCAAAAATACCTACAGCATAACCGTAAAAAGTTATTGGCAATGGTGATTTCATTAGGCTGGAGGCATTTTGCGAGAATATGTCGTGCCCTGTAAACACACAAAACACACGAACACAACACATATATATATATATATATATATATATATATATATATATATATATATATATATATATATATATATATATGTGTGTGTGTGTGTGTGTGTGTGTGTGTGTGTGTGTGTATGTGTAAATATATATATACAGAGAGAGAGGGAGAGAGAGAAGGTCAAAGAGCGAAACAGACTGAAAGAGACAAAGCGAGAGATATTTCTCCCGCACACTCTCTCACTCTCTTTTTCTCTATACATATATATTTTAAAAATATCAGAAACAATAACCTTCTAGCAACTACAGTATCTCTCGATATGATTTCGTCAAGCAACAAATAATTAGGTCTGTGTATGTGTGCTTTATGTGTGTGCCTGTTTTGTGTGTGTGTTGTGTGGGCGCGCATGTGTGGTGTCTTTTTACAGTCTCTGAAATATTTTATTAGGGTTTAGTTTATCAACCACTGCGCGTTAATGATTAGTCAATTCAAGGATTAATAAGGAAACAGCACTACACCCTGTTTTATTATAACTAACATTTTTTTTTCGTGGAACTTGTGATCGTTAGCTGCCCTTGACTATTATATCGTATTTCAGAAATATGATATATTTACAAGAAACTTTTCCGGTTGCGTATTATTTAAGCAATGATTGTTTCCTTCTTAGAATAAAAGGCAAATCAGGCTACTTCCTTGTACATCCAGAATGGTTCACGCACACACACACACTGACACAGACCTATATATATATATATATATATATATATATATATATATATATATATATATATATATATATATATATATATATATATACATATATATATATATATATATATATATACATATATATATACATATATATATAAATGTGTGTGTGTATTTGTGTGTGTTGCTCTGTGTGTGTGTGTGTGTGTAAATCTCTTTCTATATATATGTTTGTGTGTATTCGCTTAAATTATATCTTTGCAATAGATTTTGAAAAATCACGACTTTATATAATTTCGCATCCTCATTCTCATAAGAATATATATATTTTCCAGATTTTTGGTCATATTTTAAGTGAATTATGTAAATTTTGTATTTATTGTATAATAGAATGTTCGTGGATTATACTTATAGATGCGCCATTTTGGAACCTCTGATTCATGCGTTTTCCTTCTGATAACAATACATATTTTTATTGATTTTCATCCAGTACAAGCTGTAGTAGCTTTCTCTATTACTGTTCAGATAAGTTGATTTTTTTTTTACTCTACCAGCTCAATCCATAACAGCTTGGAAACGTCCTGCTACTTCTGCGGAATCGAATCACCCTTTTTTTTCCAAGTAGATCAAAATTTAAGAAGGTCATCCGACGGAAACTATTTTTGCTCTTTCCTAAGAAAATGTCTGCCTTTTGAAAAAAACAAAAACTCCATCTTTAATATCTCTCCGAACACTACAATATTTATTTCTTCAGGTCAAGATTCAATCGTTGCCTCTCCTCCTTATATTCATTGTTGGTCTCAATCTGTGTGAATGACCGCTAAGAACACCCCACCATCCCCAAATTTGCAGACAGATCCTACAGATGCTTGATGGAATTACTTTCTAAACAACAGAAATGTTCAGTTATCAGTCACATCCTACATATTTTTGTTCTTTTTTTTTTGTCTTAAAGACCGATCGCTATAACAATAACTGTATCTGTTTTGTTCTGTGAACATAATTCTTTACTTTGTAAACATTTTGATATTTTACTATCGTTTTGTCCAGTTTTCACTTTCATTTATATTGTTCGGTTTGTATTATTTTACTCTGTGCTTCTTTCTTCCTTTTCTCATTGTATTTTCAGAACTTTATCAATTCCGCTTGTTGAGAACTTTGTCAATAACACCCAAGAAATAATTACTCCACACATATAATCTCCACTTCCGGTCCGCCATTTTTTTACGTTTGTATCACATAGCTCATTCATCGTTATCATATAACGTTCTACTTTGGGTAGATCTCGGGTTTAGTATAGATTGAAATTGACATAACAAGCACCCCCAAAACAAAGTAAATGCCTTGTGGAATGGTGGATATTTTTCAACATAATACGTGTGCTGATAAAAATAAAGATTCCGCATGAAATGTTACTGTATACTTAATAAACGTGGATACAAGGTTCTAGAGTAATAATTTGTTTTCAAAGGAATAAGGGCGCCATATCAAATAAGCAGTCTGTTTAGACAAGAAGTGAGGAAAATTCCAGAAGTTTTAAACATTAAGCCACGTGCCCATATATCCGAAAAAAATGAGGATGGTTACATTAAGACAATTGTTAAGTTAAAAGCCAGAGGGAGGTCACGTCTTGAGGGTGGTAAACTGCCCGTCTCAAGAAACGATGAAAGGAAAATTGATAAGCAAATAGTAAGACGCTACTGAAAATGGCGTTGTGTTAGAGACAAAAGATGGGCAAAGCTAACACGTGGTTCGCAGTTCCGGCACTGTTAGGGTTTCAATGACGTCGTGTAATTGAAGATCCTTTTAAACTAATGTGAACATCCATCTGCATGGTTGAAAATTTAAAAGAAACTCTTTCATGAAACATGAGTTTATAAAGGAGAAATGGAAAGCTTTCAACGTTAAAATATCCTAGAACATCTCACACGTTAGAAAGAGAAATAGCAAAGAAGTTAGATCCTATTACATTTTTAAGGCCGATAAAACTAGTTTCAAGTATGCATCTACCCGGCTCAACAAAATACATGTACAACTGATCCACTTTTAGAAAATTGATTGGTTTAGTTATCAGTGCGAACTGCTTTCTCATCTAAAAATATAAAACGAAGAAATAACACGAGCGTTTTTTTTTAGTTATAAATATTGTCCAATTTGGCAAACAACTCTACGAAACAATGTACGTCTCGTTAGGAAATTGTAATTTTTTATGATTCAATTGCTGAACAATAATATTTTTTTTCTCGAATATCAAATGTTCCAATTATAATCCCCTATCGTGTAATATTATAAAACAGGCAAGTACACCAGCCACCAACACCCGTTTGAAACTCTTTTGAAAAGAAATAATCTTACCATTGGGTATTCCATATCGATTGAATATCATTTTTTTCTGTCTTTATTCATTTCGGTCTAACGTGGGCCATCGGTTACTGTGAATATAAGACATTCATCAGAATTTACTAAGAAAGGACGATAAATGAACAGCTTTTTCCTGTAGACAGAAAATAGGGATTGGCGATGGTGCAGATTTTTGAAGATTTTACGTCAAGCAACCAAAAAAGAAATCCAGTCGTGTGAAGTGCGAGGAAAAAAAAACAAAACAAAAAACTATTATTATAGTACTTACGGTCATATCTATAGAATTCAGTAAATAAAAGGTCGATAAGTCCTTGTAGTCAATCTAGTATAGTATAGCAGAGCTGGCCATTCGTATTCGAAGATACACGTCGAGTAGTGCGGTAAGCTAATCCCTAGCGAAGACGCTTGCTCAGGCGCATTTTTGTTTATTCAACCCCCACAGAGCCCACCTGTGGTTTATACTGCAACTATGCTGAGCAGACCTTTGTTACAGTTTCTGGGAAAGAGCCTGTTATCTAGGCAGGTCAAAGGGTCAGCACACTCAAGCCCTCGGCCACGATGAGTTGCGACTTCGTGGTTGCTCATCTATCGACGGAACCCAAGTGTTCCTTCTACCCAATGACACTTTCAAGGCTTGGGTCAAACCGCGGTATGGTTTTCAGGCATTTTTCAAATGTGCCGAGCGCTGTGATTGACCCCTCCTCGACAGTAACATCACGGTGAGATTCGAACCCGTTTCTCAGTCTCAGAATGCGGACGTTCTTAACATTCAGCCACGTGCCCATATATCTGAGCCATTAGTACGCTTAAATTCAAACGGTTGAAGTGCTCACAAGTGGAGCGCTATTTATTTTGTAAATATAAAAAATGTGGCACAAGGCCAAAAATGATGAGGTATACATTAAGACAATTGTTATGTTAAAAGCCAGAAAGAGGCCACGTTTGAGGGTGGTAAAGTGCCCGTCTCAAGAAACGATGAAAGGAAAATAGTAGGACGCTACTGAAAATGGCGTTGTGTTAGAGACAAAAGATGGGCAAAGCTAACACGTGGTTCGCTGTTCCGGCACTGTTAGGGTTTCAATGACGTCGTGTAATTGAAGATCCTTTTAAACTAATGTGAACATCCATCTGCATGGTTGAAAATTTAAAAGAAACTCCTACATGAAACATGAGTTTATAAAGGAGAAATGGAAAGCTTTCAACGTCAAAATATCCTAGAACATCTCACACGTTAGAAAGGGAAATATCAACGAAATTAGATCCTATTACATTTTTAAGGCTGATAAAATTAGTTTCAAGTATGCATCTACCCGGCTCAAAAAATACATGTACAACTGATCCACTTTTAGAAAATTGATTGATTTAGTTATCAGTGCGAACTGCTTTCTCATGTAAAAATATAAAACGAAGATAACACGGGTGTTTTTTTAGTTATAAATATTGTCCAATTTGGCATTCCTTTTAGAACAACCAACAAATAACGATAAAATGGACGTGGTTTGCTCTACATTTGGAGATATAAATCACTTTTGTTTGATGTTTCTGCCTCTAGTAATAGATATGATCTTCGAAAGAACTAGTCAATGATTAAACCTGCAATATTATTCCTTTTGTCAGCTATTCACAACATGTGATAGATCTCGCATCGATACTGGATAACGTATCAATGGCGATCAAAAACAGTCTCCTCGCCAACATACTAACATAACGTAATCACGCCAAAGAGACGCAAAGTAACAATGCTGGATGCGCAAAACATATATGTCTCAACCAATTATATTTATGATAAAAACAGATGAGACCAACATGAATTTGAAAGAAAAATAAGAACACTGTGTACGTGATAAACATCATCCTTTTAAATGTGTTTATCAGTAAATAAACATACATCGTGTGTACATATATATATATATATATATATATATATGTGTGTGTGTGTGTGTGTGTGCGTGTGTGTGTGTGTTTGTATAAAAATAATTAATCGATAGAAGAACAAGAATCCTCAACAGATTGCAGAAATCACTGGCTCTTTCGTCACTTTTGGGGAATAATCTGCAATGCGCTTTCTCTACCGAGAAATAAACTCAGACCGTTACGCTACAATGCAAGCGTCATACCACTGAAGTTGAAGCTAAAAGACTCAATATAGACCAGTTACTCCTAATTCCGGTGATGATAGTCTTACAAGTATACGTAAGCTACCAGACCCCGTCCCCAAGAGCAAAGTCTTCTTTCAGCAACCCGCTCCATATAGAGTATATATGAATTCTGTTGAGGATTCTTGTTTTTTAGACTCGATGAATTATGTGAAATTATTCAACCCCCCATATATATATATATATATATATATATATATATATATATATATATATATATATATATATATGCATGTGTGTGTCTGTGTGCGTGTGTGTTTAGAAATTTGACAAATAGAAAACGATTCGTTGGAAATAGATGGCGTTTCGCCATTCTGTGGTTCATCAGATCCCAAAACCGAAGAAAGAAATATGTACATTTTTGTGTGTACTTAAATAATGAATTATAGTACTCTTTAATCATACACATCATGCACACATTTTTTTTCTTTCGTTTTGGGAATTGATAAAGGCTTAAATATTGAAACTCATAATCAAATCTATTTTCAATAAAACTTTCCATTTGTGAAATTCCTTAAAATCTTTGTTGGGATTCTATATCCTATTTCAAAAACACACGTGTGTATATATATATATATATATATATATATATATATATATATATATATATATATATATATATATATATATATATATATATATATATCGTGTTTCAATACAGTCAATTGGCAAATATATTATAGATATCCTCGATTTTATTACCAATACTATTAACATTTTGTTGGCGTTTATATCCCAAATTTTATGAACACTCCTATTAAATCTATATATATATATATATATATATATATATATATATATGGAGAAACTTAGAAGAAGCGAGAGAATATAATTACGTAGTATTTGTCCCTGGAAACAAAATGTAATAAAAAGCATCGATATTCTATATCTATTGAATTCATCCACTGTCTTTTTGAAACACCAAATCACCTCCCAGAAACGCCACAAAGACATTAGAGCCTGCAATGATATTAGACACATCCTCATTAAAAATACTTAAATACGTCAAAAGTTCAACAACAGAAGAAGAATAATGATTACTGAAACCATTTACATTCGGCAAAATCAACTATACATTAATAAAACAATAACTATAGTCTCCAATCCATATGCATCGATGATATATCAATAAAATAAAAGACGGTATAGCAGGCGATGCCTGCACATTGGCTGTGCACGTTGCTGATATGACTTTCAGAGTTTTGATTCATCGAATTCAATTCCAAACGAAAGATATAATGGCACTTCTAAAAATTCTCTGAGCTCATTCACTCTTTGCATTCTATATCTCTCCCTCCACTTGTATAGAGTTTACTCTTTGTATTCCATATAAATATATCTCTCCTACACTATTTACAATATTCGGATCATTGTCATCATATTTGTCGACATATTTATTTCAACGTTTTGGCCTTTGAACACTCCGGCCTTCTTTAGGTGGTTGGGATGTCGAACTGAACCCTTTATTTCGCTCAATGACATATATCTCTCCTAGTCTCTATATCACTTTATTCTATATCTCTCCCTCTCCTAGTCTCTGGTTCAATCTTTTTCTTCTATATACCCCTCATCAGTTACTCCTTATTTCACACTTTTTTCTTCTTTATCCCTCCATCGCCTACTCTCTGTCTTTTATATATCACTCTCTTTTATTCTATATCTCTCCCTCATATAGTCTCTATTTTACTCTTTTTTCCCTCTGTACTCCTCCTTCCCCTACACTCTATTACACTCTGCCTTCTTTATATCTCCCTCTCCTAATCACTTTTACACACTTTGCCTTTTATATATGTTTCCTAGTCTCTATATCATTCTTATTTTTTAATCTCCTCCTCCTTGTCTCTAAAGTATTCTTTGTAATATATATCACTCGCTCTGCCCTCCTTCGGTTACTATCTATTTCACTCTTTTTCTTCTGTACCCTCATTCCCCCACTCTCTGTTTCAGTGTATGCGGTTTATATCTCACTCTTTTTTATTATATATATATATATATATATATATATATATATATATATATATATATAATGAACAATAAAAATATTAAAAATTAAAATCTTCCGACACATTGGGTTCTAGATTAATATTTTTTCGTTTTTATTATTATAATTTTTTTTCATTTAGATTCCTCGGCTAGTTTCGGCCAACATGGCCATCATCAGGAGAAGAAATATTTCTGTTTGCTGGTAACAGTGAACTACAGAAATGAATGTCTTGATGGAGAAAATGAACTTTTGTCTGTAGTTTTCATTTGTTTTTTTATTTTTTTATCTTTTTAACATGAATTTTTTAACATTCCTTGTGTTGGTCAAACAGTCTCTTTTAAGTTGTTACTTGAGATAAGAGCTGGATGGATGCTGCTCTAAATTCCCCTGATCAGTTTGACAGTTTTATTTTTTCCTGGAGAGGGGATGTGTCTCTGTTAAGTGTGTGTGTGTGTGTGTGTGTGTGTGTTATTTGGTTCTTAGCGAGTGAGTGAGTATATGTGTAAGCGTGTCTATTGCTGTGGGTGTGTGTTATCATTTGGCTCATTAGGGTGAAATATCTATATCTCTCCCACGCCTAGTCTCTATTTCACTCATCTATATATATATATATATATATATATATATATATATATATATATATATCTTCAAGTCTCTAGATGACACTTTTTCTTCTTAATACTTTCCTCTATTACTCTCAATGTCACTCCTTTTCTTCTATACGCTCCTTCTCCTACTTTCTGATTCCATCTATGCTTTTTATATATAAATCTTTCTTTCCCTCTTCAAGTCTCTAGATAACATTTTTCTTCTATATACTTCCATCTGTTATTCTTTATTTCTCTCTTTTTCTTCTATATCCCCTCCTTCTCTTCCTCTCTATTTCAGTCTTTTATCTTCTATATCTCTCCCCACTCCTAGTCACTGTTATACACATTGGTTTCTCTATCTCTCTCCTAGTCTCTCTTTCAGTCTTTGTCTTCTTTAAACCTCCCTCTCCCACTCTATATTACACTCTTGTGTTTCTATATCTCCCCCCCACGCCTAGTCTCTATTTTACTCTTTGCCTTCTATAAGTCTCCCTCTCTTAGTCACTCGTATATACTTCTATATATTATTCTCCGAGTCTCTATTTCATTTTTTGCCTTCTTTGAATCTCCCTCTTCTAGTCTCTATAGCACTTTTTTAAAATTCTATATCTATCTCTCTACGCTCTCTCTGTTACTCTCTATTTCACTCTTTTTCTTCTATACCCCTCCTTTTCCACCTACTCTCTATTTCAGTCTTTCTCTTTTATCCATCTCACCCTCCTCAGACACACACTTGAATATCTTAAAAGCTGACGTTTATATGTAAATGTAAAATTGATCAATATTAATTTTCATCTCGCCAGATTAACTTTCATTTCGTTATTAATTGAGACTATTTCGGGTCCTTCATATTATTAATTAAATGCAAACATTTGAATGAATACATTGCTTGATATTAGATTTGTAAATATTATAGAGTTATGTAGTCCTTCTGTTGAGATAGTTATAATTAAATATATATTTATATCTTTACACTTTTGTTTATTGCTCTGAAACAATATTACTTACCTTATCTACAACGATTCTTCTATTTGTCGATTTTTTATCTTTTTACCACCATTGCTTTATTTCATTTTTCTTGACATGGTGAGAAATATATATGTCTTTTTTTGTTGGTGTTATTAATATCCACGCTAGTTATTTGAGTTGGATTTCCCTAAGATATTTCCGTCAAAAATCTTAGCTTGATATCAACAATACTTTTTGACTGATGTTTTCTACGGATAAAACAAACAGGCAAAAAAAAAAAAAAAAAAACAGAATGAGAAAAGAACACATATCTGTGCCAAATATGAATACAAAGAGGACGCAGAGATTCTTAGTCACTGTCTCAATCTTGATATAAGGACACCGTTTTCTCGGGTGTAAACCATTACTATATCTAGCTACCTATGAATACCACCCACCTCGGTCTGACTGCGATATCAATTCTGTATATGCAAAGCGAGTAAGAGACAAAAAACAGGTGACGATTTTCTCGACCTTTAGTATTTACTATAAGCCTGCCTTGGGTTTCCAAATATGAGCAAAAAATAAATAAAACATATTTATCATATATATATATATATATATATATATATATATATATATATATATATATATATGTGCAAGCTTTTCTTCACCGTTCCTTGCTGTATGTGATAGCAATCAGATCGAAACCGATCTCAAATGATTTCTGATTAGCACTATTGTCATGGCCGTCTCTTCCGGCAAAAACTGAAAGCCTTGTTTTTCATGAGCAATCAAGACTACTTTTGCTAGACATTTGGTTTTGAGATTTCTTAACTACGTGCATCTACAAGAAACGTATAGGCCTCAGGAATGTGAGCAAACACTGTTTCTCTATATAAATTATTGCGTTTTTTTTTGCTTTTTTTTTTTAATGCGTGTATATATTTGCTCTTCTCTGCAGATAGTTTCTCCGTCTATCAATATTTGTATCCGTCAATAAAGAAATATAATTCTATTCATAGATTTAATGAATAAAATAACTAATTTCATATTACCTTCACCCCATCATCATCATCTTGCTACTTTTTGCCCAAAGTGGATCGATAAAATCTTTGACTACTAGATTCCTCTATTATCTATGTCGTGTCCTTTCAGGAAGTGGGCGATCATGACTTTTGTTTTTTGTTACGCTATGTAACTTTTATTTTTTAATACTATTTCAAGATTGTTTTTATTATGCCAGGCAATCACAAAATCTCCTTAAGTCACTCGCTGTTTCCCTCGCGCGTTCTATGTACTTCTGTGTGTTCTCTTAGTCAAAACATTTTTTTCTCATAATTAACTCCGAAACGTCGATATTCATGTTCTGATTTTAAGTATAAGTTTTCTTTTATCTTTTCATAATTTCACTACAAGCCAGTCAGCAGTGGCACTAGGATGCAAGAGTTTACTGAGTCTTAGAGATTATGAGAAAATTACAATTAAATAGAGAGGACCAGGAAAGAATAAGAATTAAGACAGAAGATAAAAATTGGCATTGCATTTAGATTTTTGAAGATCAAATTTGACTAGAAAGCAAGAAGCCAGAAGATTCCACAAGCTAAATGTTATTATAGACCTTACGGTTACACATAGCCATTTCAACTTGCTGAGCATTTTGATGAGGACTTGCAACCAATCTAATCTTTTTTTTTTTATGTACGCTGTCCCTTCAGGACGCAGACGACAATGCCCCCCACTTCCCCCTATCCCTTGTAGGTCTCAGTAAGTATCGTCCTTCTGCAACCCCCACCCAGACGACATTCTGCCATCCACTTGCTTAAGCCCGCTAGGTATGTCATGCGTTGCGCTATCTTGTCCTTCTTTCCCGCTATTCAACCTGTGAGTATCAGATTCTCGAAGCCTCTATTTCTCATTACGTGTCCCAGACATTTCAGCCGCCTCTTCCTGATGTTAAGTATAAGCTTTCTCTTTGGTTGCATCCTCTTTCAAAACCTCGTTTTTTGCTCACACGCTCGGGCCATGATATCCTTAGCAACCGCCTGTAGATCTATACATCCGTTGCCTCTAGTCTCTTCTACATCTTTGAGGAGACCTGCTAACATTCGCTGCCGTAAAGGAATGATAGATATTACGTAGCAGCTGAGTACTCTTTTCTTGGTTACTGACTAGTAATAATGTGCTTAACTGCGCGTAACTTCATACAATCTAGGCACTACATCGGAAAGTTCATCAGAACAATTACCATAAATGTATTTTTAGAAAGGACAAACGGAAGCTACGTTACGGTTATGGGAAAAGGGACTGAATAATATTTCCTATTGTTGGTGAAACATCCCAGCTGCTCACATGTTGCACCAACACCTCTCCTTTGTCACAGAATGCCTGACATTTGTAGCTCTTTGCAATGTTATGTATTTTGCTGCACCTCCAATTGCATGTTTATAGAAGCATTTAAACAAAAATCGTTAAATAAAAAAAAATATTTTTATATCAACAAATCTAGTTTTGTCTATGCTTATGTATGTCGCAGACTTTGAACTTCATAATTACCCTATATACACGCGCATCAAGCGACATTTGAAGAACTAATTTTGAAGCTAATTTTAATGAAGTTGCATCATACACGAGATATAAAATTAGCGTAAGTACTATTGGCTCTGCCTACGTCGTTGACCAAATATCTATCTATTTGCTGCAGTCAAATTAGCTTCAAATTTAGGTCTCCAAAGATCGCATGATACGCGAGTCGAGTATATGCGGGAGATACACAAGAGCTCACACAGACGAATAGATTCTTAAAGAGATACATATGCACTTTAAATTATACTTAAGTACACAAAACTAATTACAAACAATGATATATATATATATATATATATATATATATATATATATGAACTATATATATATATATATATATATATATATATGAACTATATATATATATATGTATATATATATATATATATATATATATATGAACTATATATATATATATATATATATATAAGTATATATATGTATATGTATATGTATATATGAACTATATATATATATATATGTATATATATGAACTATATATATATATATATGTATATACATGTATATATATATATATGAATATATATATATATATATATATATATATATGAACTATATATATGCATATATGTATATATATATGAACTATATATATATATATATGTATATATGTATATATATATATACTATATATATATATATATATATATATATATATATATATGAAATATGTATATATATGTATATATATATGAAATATGTATATATATGTATATATATATGAACTATGTATATATATCGGCCTGAATATTATTATTTAATACTGTTTATCATAAACAGAGCATTTGCTTAAATACTTGTATCTATAAAATAACAACGTTAAACATAATAAAATGTCTTTAATAAATAAACTGTCGGACCTTGTCCATTTCTTAATATATGTATATATATGTATATATATATGAACTATATATATATATATGTATATATATATATGAACTATGTATATATATGTATATATATATATGAACTATATATATATATGTATATATATATATGAACTATATATGTGTATATATATATATGAACTATATATATATATGTATATATATATGAACTATATATATGTATATATATATATATATATATGAACTATATATATGTATATATATATATGAACTATATATATATATATATATGTATATATATATGAACATATATATATATATATGAACTATATATATATATGTATATATATATATATGAAATATATATATATATATATATATATATGTATATATGAACTATATATATATATGAACTATATATATATAAACTATATATATATGTATATATGAACTATATATATATATATATATATGAACTATATATATATATATATATATGTACTATATATATACAAACTATATATATGTATATATAAACTATTTATATATATATATATATATATATATAAAAACAAACTGGGCACCTCGAGGCGGTGTAATGGTTAGCAAGCTTGTCTCGCTAGAACAATTACCACTGAGTAGTGTGTTCGAAACTCACTGGGTGCCCCCTACTTTCGGCCTTGTGCCACATCTAAGCTACGCTTGGAAAATCATGGGCACCTCTGCGTGGTGTAATGGTTAGTAAGCTTGTCTCGCTAGATCAATTACAACTGAAAAGTGAGTTCTATCCTCACTAGGTGTCCGATACTTTCGGCCTTGTACCATATCTAAGCTATGCTTAGAAAATAACTATATATGTTAGCAGGAGATAACTGATAACTGACGTACCATCAAACATGGCACGTGGAACTAGAACAGTCTACCCCAGTGATCGAAATAAAGGTTTCAGTTCGAAATTCCAACCACCTGAAGAACTCTGGAGCGTACAACGGCCGAAACGTTGTGACAAATATGGCGACAAAGATGAGGACAATAGTCCGACTAATGTAAATACTATATATATATATATATATATATATATATATATATATATAGACAGACAGAGAGAGATAGACGTTCCTATAAGTTATATAAAGCCTAGTGTTCTCCATAGTATGAGACAAAAGATAGTGAAGCAAGAATCCGTGTAAAGGAAGGAAGATAATGCAAAATTGTTTTTTCTTTCTTTCTGTGAAGTTCTGCCGCAGTTTAACCATCCGTTAAACTGATAAATAACTTTCAACTCTTGTTTGCGGGTTTCAAAGTAACTTTTCTTATCATTACGGACGGATGGTAAGTTTAAATATTAAACATATATATTCCT